TTCTAGCCATCCCAACCATTTCAAAGAAAGCATGCCGTGTATCCATTTGATTAGAGTCATAAATGTTTAAAATTCAGCAGTCAGAAACGCCACAGAAGGTAATCATTTCTGCAGAAATCGCACACAAACTCAAAGTGGTCTTTTGGAGAGTGAGGTGAATGGTGAGTGAGTTGTATATACTTATTATAGGGAAAGTCGACACAGGACCAACTCCCTCATTAGTTGTCAATAAGTAATCATATAGGTGACATGACGAGCAGTAACTTGACCTTTAAGGCCTTCCAGTCTATTTGTTGGTGGATTAGAAACCCATACGCTCACAGTCGACTCAATGGATGAGCAGATAGTTCCGTATTGTCAACACTGGACTGTCCACCTCACCACAGTGCCTCCCTTCTACTTTTACTTTCTTTAAGGAGAAAAATTGAAGAAGGATGCAAGGTCTGAAAGTGATCCAGTCAACAAGTACTTTGTCCAGCAAATGGCTATTCAAAAGCTTCAGGATGCACAAAAGACCGGATTTGAACGGAAAACCCAAAGAAGCAACTGTGGCGGTGTCATTAGAAAATATTTTTTGGATACTTTTGTCACATTGCCTATTTCCAATGACCACAATCTCATTTGCCTGCTTAGATCATGTAGGCATCTTTAAAAGAATCAAATGATAAAAAACCACCTGTGATGTTTTGTCTGTTTGTGTGTCCTGCAATGTGCAAGCAGGGAAATTCTGAGAAAATGGTGTGCTTCCTCCCTGCTTTGCACTACATGGTCTTCGGGCCATGGTAGTGGGCTTCCACCCCACCCATTGCGTAGTAGGTAGTATCTTCTCCACCACCCTGGGTGAGCACGACTTTAAGCAGAGGCTTGGAGAGGCTCCAAAATACTCGCCATCTATTTTGACAGAGGTCAACCAACTAATACAATTTTCCTCATCTGTCGGTGTTGGAGGCATGTGAGGAGAGGCGAGTAATTGTCGTGCAGACAACGTCATTGAATGGATTGACTAACAGCAAGTGGTGCTTCGGCATTTCTTTTCCGTGCTGTTTAATTGTCATACACCTTCACTTTTTCGTCTTTTTCTTCCACAAAATGACATTCAAATTACGTTTTACATGTTCTTCCCAAAAGAGCCTTGATAACAATCTATCCACTCATTAATTGAGCCCTTCGAACCGTTGAATGCCTCGTTCATAGGCTACCTAGAAAGCACACCACACAGATGGGAAAAGGAATGCGTTTGGATCAGATAGACCTGCGATGCTTCTTAGCGTTTTTCTAGGCAGTTGTCAGTTTTAGAGGAGAAAGGAACAGGTGGACTCACGAAGCATCATTAATCGACAACCTGATCCCTTCCATCGTGATTCATTGATAATGTAGTTGAAGCACCAGGTGTTGTTGGCTCTATCCAGAGAGGAGCGCATGAAGGCCATCAATCCGCGTTTAACTGAAATAGTGAGGAGAAATTAAGACTGCATACTGCTTCTTACTCATACTAATGCAAGTGATCAACTTTCTCGGTTAGTGAATGAGACAATATTGAAGGGGTGGTAATGGAGTCCGCTCCTCATAGGAGTAGCTGAGGTGTTGCGCAGCACCCAAAGAGATACGGTCGATTGCCGGGCAATTTAGGCACCTGCTTCAGGTGGCCAAACCCCTCAAGGATATGCAAGAGAAGGGTAGTCAAAATGGAAGCAAAGCTTACTGATCGGCACAAATGCCGGGTAAGGTAGATAGCTGTTGGAGGACAAAAGCCTCCCAAATAGTACCTTAAAGTTAAAGAGTAAAACAACGAAATATCAAAGCACTTTTTGCTCTTCGACTGTAATGTACAAGCCCAGAGATCTCGTGATAACAACTTTGACTCTTGTTGGTTGTTCGCAATCTAGCTGTTCATCATGACCACGGATTTCTTGATTTTTCTTTCATGAACAACTCATCCACTACAAATAAAAAAGCCGTAGGCGACATTTTAGTCCCTAGGAAGAGGAGAGTGATTCTGATGCACTCCGTTCCACATGGTCTTCGGTTCATGCTTTTGGCCTCTCACTCCATCTGTAATCTTGTGAATAGTATGATCTGCCACCACCACTTTACGTGGTTACGACTTTGGTTAAAATACTAGGTGGGACTGCATATTTCCCTTTGGCATGGACGATCAAAACTAACCGAATAAGACCGAAGACGTGTTCGCCAGTGCAAGAGGCGGGGAGGGCGTGCGGCGGTGGGGAGAGAGTGGATAGCACTCACTCAGCTCTATGTTTGCGTTGGAGGAAATAGGCACAAATAATTCATTCCTCAGCGTTAACTCTAGAACCAAGTGCTGCCTCAAAAGATCTTTTACTTAATTGTACAGGAATTTCGATCATGGAAAGGCGGATTTGAGTCTCCCAAAGGACGCATAATTTATGCCACTCTGCTCAAGTGGAGCAATTCCCGTTGTTGGCGGAAGATTAACAGGAGGAGAGGAGGAAACACATCAATCGTCTTTGTCAGAATATATACTATAATCCCTTACTTCCACTTGCTACACTACCAAAAGGAGCAAAATTTTGAATCACCCATGAAGAAATGGCGAACCAAGGATATATTTCACATTCAATTCTAGACAGACTTTTATGTCAAGGACAGGTGTCTCTTAAAAGATATTTTGCTTATCCTTTGAGATATTTACGCAGTGTCTGACATCTCAGGAATATTCCCTAAGGAATCCGATGTCATGGTGGTTTTTGGTCTTTTCACTTACCAGTTCTTCAAGTCTCTTTTAAAAATTATTATTTCCTATCGGATAGTGCCCTGCAAAACAACAGT